ACCTGGATGTAGTTACTCAAAATTGATAAGTTCTATTACGTAAACAACATTTCAATGTATCGATCTTGTTGGCATGACCAGAAAGCAGCTGTCGTGACATTTGAAATGTACATAAAAAATGCAACATAAATTCAGATGTAACGGAAATTGACGATAGCGTCTTGGTGTTACAAAGACTCCAGAATCAGAAAAACGAGAAAGTCTTGCAACATTCATTGCAATTGAGCAAAATGTTTATCATTCAAATCCTTGTTGACCCAGAGACCGAGGTTATGTCCTCCAAGCGGTCGCAATATTGTCAACCATAAAATTTCCGCCTCTCTGAATTAAGTTACTGTATCACCAGACAGTGTTAATTGTGACTTATTCCTTCCGAAGTGTCGGCGACGTGAATTTTCATACCTATGAATCGCACAAACAGAGTCATTATTTGGATAAAATTGTCGACTAAAGACGGTGAGTTGCTGCATTCAAATGTTAAGGAATATCAGAAATATATCTAGAAGTTGTAAAAAATTAGATAAGATTCAATAACACGCTGATGACGCCATTCACAGTTTGGAATAACTGCAAGCATTCGGCACATTGTTGCTCATTTGAATACATTGCTCTTACACAAAAGTGTTTACACTTAGGTTAAGGAAGCAGATAAGACAGGTAATAAATGATCTCGAGACATATTTTATGTCCCGGATTCAGGATATGTCATTTACTGCTGTGTTATAGTTTATATGCTTCTGCATAAAAGATGACATGATCAATAATAAACAAAAGGAGTTCGTTTTCAATTTTGTGGACAAGTAATTTTTGTTGCCGTGGTTTAATAGAATGGTAACAAGCTTTGTAGTTTTACGGGTTCGTCTGGAGCTACAATTAAAATCCCCGTCACTAATTCGATGATCCAGTATTTCCTATCATAGCGGAACGATACACGTGTCCTGTAAAACAAAGGGTGCAAATCTAGACAGGAAGTCCCGTGACAAATCCAACATCTCAACATCAAAGAATTTACGACAGGATATCCAATTTAATTCGACGTTATCGTATAAAATCAATTATCAACCAATACATGACAACAAGTTTTGGTATGACGGGAGAAACGTGCAACCGACGAGCACATGTGATGGTGGTTCAAATGTCATCTCAAATTATAATGTGACGGAGAGCGTTCTATGACCTTCTGTCTCCTCACCGAGGCCATTGTATCTGCTGATGTAGACAAGAAATATAAGTAAATGTTCTGTCCACGGGGATATCCAATTAGTCTAACGGTCAATTCTACATAACGATTTGAAGGTTCCCAGCATGCAATAAACCAGAATCGAACCTTTGTGCTCTCCATGACAAGACACATTTTAGTAGTGGTTTTCTGGTTAACAAAGACAAGGCCAAATCTTACAAGTAGTGGTATTCAAACAAGTACTTAACTTTTAAGATTCATACTATTAAGATAGCAGACAAAACAATGACATGTGCAAAATGTCATTTGCTGGTACTAAATCGGTTCATTCTGCATTGACATCACAGTTCACGTCCCAACGCATTTGTTGGCCTGTAGCTAAATGACTTGCTATTATAAAAGCATGTCCTATTGGTATGTTTTCGTTTCGCTTCGGTTTTTGACAATTCTTTGAGAAGAGTGAAGAGACTATGATAAACAATGTATTCTATGTTGAGCATATAGCATGTGGAAATTTTTTTTTGTAGTTTTCATTTAAACGAAGAGGTCTTTAAAAAAATATTGAAAACTGCAAAGAAGTACAAAAAAGGCGGCACAAAATTATGTCTTGAGAGAAAGGCGTCCAGAGTCCAGAAAGAAATTGTCCAGTTCATCATGGTTACATAACTGTGTGGTAGGCCATGGTGGGAGACCAGTAGCAGTGTGGACCTCCCCTCCGATCAGCATGCCCACCAGGAGGGAATCGACTGTGAAACCAATGGATGTCTAGACACGTTATGGGAAAGTTGTTCTCGGTCACTCATCACTTGCAAGCACATGTCATCCCCATAAATATTTTTCTACTCTTTTTTTCCTGCTTTTTGTAGAAATATCCTTTTCCAATTTTTTTGTGAATGAATGTTGGTTTCTGATCAAAACCATGTGTAGTGTATCTGCTGTCGTTGAGGTTTGGCTGCAAAATTGTCCCTGTCGGCTTACGGAAAGTTTACTTAACTGTAGATAACGTAATTACTTCTTTGGAATACACACAAACATAGGACTTGGTGATGTTACTTGATTCAGGGAGAGACGGTCCAGCCGACCAAACTACCAGGATTGGACATGCCTATCAGTCTACGATCTGTGAAACAAAATTTAGTCTATGGAAATAAAGAGCTGAAAGTCCACTAACAGAAAGTATAGCAGATTTTATTATGCTTGGGTTTCATGATAATGAACAAGTAATCAATATATATAATTTGTTTGTTCCTGAATTAAAAAAAAAAGTAAAATTAAAATCAAACACTGGTTTTCTTCAGAAGATAAGGATATAGATAGAGTAAAAGATCTGCTCCCTAACCACACCCTCTGAAACGTGGAATGTACCTAAACTACAGGATATGCTGAAATGTCTCAACAGTTAAATAAAACTAAAGTTCCCATTTCCTGTTGGTTTTTTTTTCTTAGATATATTAGCATTTGGATTGTCACATTAAAAGATTCTATTTAATCTAGCAAAGAATTTGACAATGTAATTTCAAAGAGATTTCAATTTCAACCCTATGCTGTTGTTGGGAGAGGTAATCCATCACAAAAGTAATTCTTTTGAAAAGTTAATGTATAATCCTATCAGATGTTTTCCTCTATACAGAGAGCTGTATACACGGATATACACACAATTAACTCTACCAAATTAGCATTGGAGATATGATAGTCTACTCCAGTGTTACTAGGGTGGCCTAGGGGTTGGTGACCAGGATGCTTTGTATAACCCTGATGAAACACTGCTAGGTCAGCCGTGGGGCAGGATGACCCGCACCTGTGTTTTTCCCTCTTTTCACATTCATAGTAATCCATAATACTTATTCCGGCATATATATCACACTTATTACAAAACGCACATCTGGCAAGACACTAAAGTTAAACTATTGTGATCAGCAATCAAGATGCTGAACCAGATATGACAAACAAAACAATTCTTTGCATGTATGTTGTCTCTCTCCACAGAGCCTGCAGACAACTTAGACTTTCTCTAAATGCCCCATCAATTAGGAGAATTAACATCCATGTACAGTGATTTTATTACCACAAACTCTATCATAACGTAAAGTTTCCATTCAAATTTTATTTTTTTGACCCTATTAAGCCTTTTTGATCCATTGTCAATGACTGGTCAGACTGTTTCCACCCAATCTAATACAGGATATACATGTGTTACTCTAATCCTTGACCAGATACATCTTTCTTCCTCTGAAGTGTTTTTGAAGACTTAATTTGACATTATAAGCAGGTGAGAAAGCTAATCCTATCAGTAGTGGAATAGGCTGGTACACAGCCTTGCACTGCAACAGCTTGGTGTCCTCTGCTCCACCAGTACAAGGTGATTCATTCTCATCACCAACTGCCTTTGTCTAGTGGGGCAGTGAGGCGGACTTCAGCTCTTTATAAACTTGGTCACATATTGGAGAAATGTTGTACCTCTGGACCAAAGTTAATCTTTAAAATATCCCTTTTTGATATTAATTCATATTGATAATACAACATCTATTTTCAGAGTGACATGTCTGGTAACACATTGAAGCTTTAACATCTGAAAGGGCTTGAATTTCTCTATGATTATATTTATTGCATTTATTCATTATCGTACTGTCATTGTCTGATATTGAATCTCAGATTACTCAACTTTTTAAAAAGCTATCAAAATTTGCATACTTTATTATCATCACAGCATCAAATGGAGTCCTCCTTTAGGTTAATAAATATTAAAACTTTTGTTTAGAGATGTAAGTTTAGTGTTAAAATTACTTTCTTTGTTGCCTAGTTTGAATCGGATAGAATGTGATGAGCCTCCTGTACATTGTTCAGTGTGGTAGTCACTTGCTACCCATGAATTCAGGAATTAAAAGCTGACCACCTAAGTTTTTTTACCAGTTCCAAGAACCCAAATCCAAAGCTAAAATAATATCACCTTTAACTGTTGAAAACATCAGGTTAAGTAAATAGCAATATGCTTTATTATTGTCCCTTATGAGGTGACAATATGGGGGAGAACAATCTATCATAAACAAGGTCAGTTGTAATATTAGTCAAGGCACGACAGCAATGTGTATGATTAACTATCATCAGGATGAACATAAATAGAGTGGTATTCGACACGAAAACCACTACAGCTATAGATACAAGATATAAACTGTACTGTTGTGTATTGTTCAAAAATTAGGATGAAATCGGTGAGGACAAGTATAGACAACTGCCTTTATTAGCTGGAGGTCAGGGCCAGGGTACTGAAGGAATTCTTTACAGTCGTATAATGATGGACAACGAAGAGATTGATATCTTTTCCATTTAATGAGTCAATAGGAGATATTACCTTTCCTTTTACATACTACCAATAGAATGGGTAATAAGTCCTTAACATGGCTATGTGAATCCATTTAAAAGAACCTAGGGGAAATCCATTCATGTACATGGAATGTCTAGCCATCTGTTAATCAACCACAACTGCTTAAAACTATGACAAAGTGTGAAATATCTTTTAAGATTATTTTCTATTTGTTTATGAGCCGATTTATACTTATGGGAGGATGTTACAAGATATAGAACAATATTTTGTACTTCTCGGCAGGATAATTAAATGAATAATGTAGATTCCCTTCATATTCTTACCTAAACTTTATGACAATTATATCGTTTCAACAATATCTAACCAATTCTTAATCTGCTGTAATACTATAACTGGTGCAAAATTTAAAAAAAGTCCCAAATATCTTCATTTAAATCAATTATATTCTTTCCTTTAAAGTGTTAAAAAAAGAAAGAATAAAGTCTTTTCTTGGGCATAAAAAAACATAAAAGGAAATAATCCAAGTAATTATTTTGTCATTTTCATCCTAACTATAGATTATGAATCGAGTCTAAATTTTTCACATGTATAATGCATTATATACAAGGAAATGGTACACCCAGCACTAAGAATGAGAAGCCAAGTAATGTTCAGTGGGAACCCTATGTATACGGTTATTTTCTGTTTATCATGCCCTTACTACTACCTGCAACAGAAGCTATCAGGCAACTTAGGGGATCAAAGCTTTTATCACAGACTTACACTAATCAGCCTCCCTACAATGCAAACAACAGATAGCATAAACACACACTGATAAGCTTTACAATGTTGCAGTGGAAAAAGTCTAATTTTATCTATGTCTGAACTGAACTCTCTGCCTCAAACAGACACTGATAGCACTGTGATAGCCCTTACATACAATGACATGTCTCTGGCGTAACCTAGGTGTTATCACCTAATGATTTTCATAACTAATGCAAGTACAAGCAGGATTAAATACAAACACAGGTCATAATGCCCCAAGCTAACATATTTCAAGCTCCAACTATTATATCAACATCCTGTCTGTATTCTTCAACCCATAAATTTCCAAAAAGGCTAACCAGCTAGCCCCTAAGCTGGCCAACCAACAAGCCTCCAACCTGGCTGTTCAAATCAAACCCCAACTGTGATACTTCAAATCATTAAGATACAACTTGGCCGTAATGCTACACAACCAGCTATAATACACCAACACAGAAATTTCCATCCAGCTACCCCTCAATCTCACATATCTCAAAAGAAGTTCTTATGCTTCAACCTACAAATCTCCAACCAGGCTGTAATACATTAACCGAGAAATCTCTAACCAGGCTACCTCTCAATCTCACAAATCTCCAATCAGGCTACCCCTTAATCTCACAAATCTCCAACCAGGCTGTAATACATTAACCCAGAAATCTCTAACCAGGCTACCCCTCAATCTCACAAATCTCCAATCAGGCTACCCCTCAATCTCACAAATCTCCAATCAGGCTGTAATACATTAACCGAGAAATCTCTAACCAGGCTACCCCTCAATCTCACAAATCTCCAATCAGGCTACCCCTCAATCTCACAAATCTCCAACCAGGCTGTAATACATTAACCGAGAAATCTCTAACCAGGCTACCTCTCAATCTCACAAATCTCCAACTAGGCTATCCCACAAACTCACAAATCTCCAACCAGGCTGTAATACATTAACCGAGAAATCTCTAACCAGGCTACCCCTCAATCTCACAAATCTCCAATCAGGCTGTAATACATTAACCCAGAAATCTCTAACCAGGCTACCTCTCAATCTCACAAATCTCCAACCAGGCTACCCCTCAATCTCACAAATCTCCAACCAGGCTGTAATACATTAACCCAGAAATCTCTAACCAGGCTACCTCTCAATCTCACAAATCTCCAATCAGGCTACCCCTCAATCTCACAAATCTCCAACCAGGCTGTAATACATTAACCGAGAAATCTCTAACCAGGCTACCCCTCAATCTCACAAATCTCCAATCAGGCTGTAATACATTAACCCAGAAATCTCTAACCAGGCTACCTCTCAATCTCACAAATCTCCAATCAGGCTACCCCTCAATCTCACAAATCTCCAACCAGGCTGTAATACATTAACCGAGAAATCTCTAACCAGGCTACCCCTCAATCTCACAAATCTCCAATCAGGCTGTAATACATTAACCCAGAAATCTCTAACCAGGCTACCTCTCAATCTCACAAATCTCCAACTAGGCTATCCCACAAACTCACAAATCTCCAACCAGGCTGTAATACATTAACTCAGAAATCTCTAACCAGGCTACCTCTCAATCTCACAAATCTCCAACTAGGCTACCCCTCAATCTCACAAATCTCCAACCAGGTTGTAATACATTAACCCAGAAATCTCTAACCAGGCTACCCCTCAATCTCACAAATCTCCAATCAGGCTACCCCTCAATCTCACAAATCTCCAACCAGGCTGTAATACATTAACTCAGAAATCTCTAACCAGGCTACCTCTCAATCTCACAAATCTCCAACCAGGCTGTAATACATTAACCCAGAAATCTCTAACCAGGCTACCTCTCAATCTCACAAATCTCCAACCAGGCTGTAATACATTAACCCAGAAATCTCTAACCAGGCTACCCCTCAATCTCACAAATCTCCAACCAGGCTGTAATACATTAACTCAGAAATCTCTAACCAGGCTACCTCTTAATCTCACAAATCTCCAACCAGGCTGTAATACATTAACTGAGAAATCTCTAACCAGGCTACCTCTCAATCTCACAAATCTCCAACTAGGCTACCCCTCAATCTCACAAATCTCCAACCAGGTTGTAATACATTAACCGAGAAATCTCTAACCAGGCTACCTCTCAATCTCACAAATCTCCAACTAGGCTACCCCTCAATCTCACAAATCTCCAACCAGGCTGTAGTACATTAACCGAGAAATCTCTAACCAGGCTACCCCTCAATCTCACAAATCTCCAATCAGGCTACCCCTCAATCTCACAAATCTCCAACCAGGCTGTAATACATTAACCGAGAAATCTCTAACCAGGCTACCCCTCAATCTCACAAATCTCCAATCAGGCTACCCCTCAATCTCACAAATCTCCAATCAGGCTGTAATACATTAACCCAGAAATCTCTAACCAGGCTACCCCTCAATCTCACAAATCTCCAACTAGGCTACCCCTCAATCTCACAAATCTCCAACCAGGCTGTAATACATTAACCGAGAAATCTCTAACCAGGCTACCTCTCAATCTCACAAATCTCCAACTAGGCTACCCCTCAATCTCACAAATCTCCAACCAGGCTGTAATACATTAACCGAGAAATCTCTAACCAGGCTACCTCTCAATCTCACAAATCTCCAACTAGGCTACCCCTCAATCTCACAAATCTCCAACCAGGCTGTAATACATTAACCCAGAAATCTCTAACCAGGCTACCTCTCAATCTCACAAATCTCCAATCAGGCTACCCCTCAATCTCACAAATCTCCAACCAGGCTGTAATACATTAACCGAGAAATCTCTAACCAGGCTACCTCTCAATCTCACAAATCTCCAATCAGGCTACCCCTCAATCTCACAAATCTCCAACCAGGCTGTAATACATTAACTCAGAAATCTCTAACCAGGCTACCTCTCAATCTCACAAATCTCCAACTAGGCTATCCCACAAACCCAGAAATCCCAAACCGAACTGTAATGCTTCAATCCACAAATCTCCAACAACAAGGTTTTAATGCTCCAGTTAACCCTAAAATCCGTAGAAAGGCAGTATTACTCTAGCCCTGAAATCCACAAATCTTGAACAGGGCTGTAATGCTAAAACAAACAAATCTTCATGACCTCTAATTTGCAATAAGCTGTGAAATATTCTTCAATTATTTAAGTTTTGTGACCTTCTTAATTGATCTAGATTCATGTCATTTAATAATCATGAAAGCCTTTCACCTCCATCAGTAAATGACAATAGGCCTATTGCATGTAGGGCCAAGTTATTCATTTCAAAATACAATTCAGATCGATTTCAGTTGTTTGGCAATAATTGGGATAAGATAATACAATTATACTGTCGGCTTAAGTCATGTTTGAGGTAAAATCCCTGACTGTCTGCTGAAGTCCATGTTAGAGGTAAAATCCCTGAGTGTCTGCTGAAGTCCATGTTAGAGGTAAAATCCCTGACTGTCTGCTGAAGTCCATGTTAGAGGTAAAATCCCTGACTGTCTGCTGAAGTCCATGTTAGAGGTAAAATCCCTGACTGTCTGCTGAAGTCCATGTTAGAGGTAAAATCCCTGACTGTCTGCTGAAGTCCATGTTAGAGGTAAAATCCCTGACTGTCTGCTGAAGTCCATGTTAGAGGTAAAATCCCTGACTGTCTGCTGAAGTCCATGTTAGAGGTAAAATCCCCGAGTGTCTGCTGAAGTCCATGTTAGAAGTAAAATCCCCGAGTGTCTCCTGAAGTCCATGTTTGAGGTGTAATCCTTGGTCATTATATCCATCCATTTGTTCATTTTTAAACATGGTTAATCAAATTTATCTAGATGAATTCCATGAAAACAAGATGGAATATCAAGGAAGACAAGTAGAAATCGTGGTAACCAATGGTGAAATAGGAAATATCATCCTCAATCATTGGCTGTTTTGTTATTGTTCCAAATCTGTTGTGTTTTAAGTTGATAATATTAAATGTTATCCAAGTGTGTTTCAGCTCTGTAGTTAGCATAGGCAAAACAATATTCTGGTTAATTGGTGCACACAAGGTCCGAGCTGTCTTTCCTGCTGATTCACTATTCCTTCAGTTTGAACACATGACCTGAAAGTAAGGAGAGAACAGTTAATATCAGTGTGCCTTTATTATGAGAATCTTCAAACAAGACTTAGCCAAATGATAAAAGTAGACAATTATATAAAGTTAAAATTGGTGTGATAAAAATATATAAAAGAGACAGGACAAGAGAAAGATGGACCAAATGCCTGTGCCAGACTGAGGCCAATGCAGAAATCCTGAATTTGAAGTCAGCCTATGATATAACAGGGAGAGCAAATTCAGTTAAAATTTGTTCAGATATTAAAATGAGGCGAGCTTTACTTATCTATATTTCCACGTTGGCCCTTCTCAATGTGTTCAAAGGAACTACATCCTTTCTTAATAATAAATTCAGTCATAATTCTCTTTGCCATTCTGAGCTAATTTGTTTTTGTCTTATAAAAGAATGGCTAATGAAGGGTGGAAGATGGGATGAGGAAAAACTTCACATGACACTCCAGTTAAACTAGAACGTTACATCAATTTTTTTTTCACATTTTCATTAATGTTTGCAGTAATTAATTGCAATATTTTATTTTTGCAGAGATTTTTTATCAAAATATGTCATTTGGTACAGTTACATAATGTGGTAATTCGTCTATATTTAATGCATAAGATCTATAACTGTTCTGAACACTTCATAGCTATAGATAGTTCCCAACTGGATCAGTGCTGATTAACATTGGTATAGAAAAGGTGGCCCTGACCTATAACAACATATAGGTGTATTGGGCCGCCCAGTACACCTTACTCTGCCAGATCAGTACATGTAGGGTTCATAATTACTACTATGGGGATCAAAGTATGTACTATAGTTGAGGTATACTACAAGCATGTATTAACAGAGTTCCTATGATCAAGTACGTATACAGTCATGTAATATATCGTATCACAGCATTGTGAGCTGAATTAACCTGTCCTTGATATAAAGAATATCAGAGCAGTTGACCTACTACAGCTGTGTTGTGAAATATTTCAATAATACATTTACACCTCTATCCGAAACTCAACATATAGGTAATATCTATTTATATACTTTACGTTTCATGACATAGTGTTTCTATTTGGTAATACATATATATTTTGCTGTCAAGAAATTTTAACATGAGGAACACTGTGATACTGAGTTTGTTGAATTGAAAACTGGCACAACACACATTTTTTATATGTGAAAAGCACCTTTCCATACAATTTCAGAGTTAGTATAGTAAGGTCAAATAATGAATTTAATCAATTTGACTGCATCACACGGCTGTTTTTGTCCTGCTAGGGCTTGTCAGTAATGCCAAGGCCCAGAATTTTGAAACCTAGGAGGTGAAGGAAGAAAATCACACTGAAAATTAGAAATGCCAAAATCTAGATTGGGAGGTGTAACATGCCCCTAATTCAATAATTTTTGTAATTTTCATATATCTGATAACAGAAGAAAATGTGTATTCTGGACATATACAGAATGGTTTGTTAAACTGTCAGCTAAAACCTGATTTTTTTGTACCCATTTTGGGTTTGGAGAAAAGGATCTCAACTAGAGCCACAAGCTGTGACAGACCATGCCACCTTGTTGGAACCACCTGTTGTCCAATATAACAATGTAGCAGAGAAGATTAGTGTGGCTCACCAGCTTGATCACAAGTCCCCACCCGTGGCTAATGCAGCATATATATATCCGGCCTTGTATAAAAATACACTGTGATGACAAACATTTACCATCAACTACAAATTAAATCCTCCCTGCATATTTTTATTTCATGGAGCAAACTGCGATCAGTCTGCATTTTTAATCTGTTTATCTGTCTATCCTTATTGATCTATTCCAAAGGATACATTTCCGTCATAGTAGGGAGTACAAAGGTGGGAGTGGGGACAAAAACAGGTGAACAATGTCAGTGGACGTTCAGGATATTTGAGTCTTTAATCAGAGAGAGGAAAACTGGCTTAGGATGTTTTATCAGATTCTTTTATATTATATTGTAATATTGGTTAAGTCAAAATATTAACTAAATAATTCAGTTATCTTTTTCTCAAATTAATGCTATCATGAGAATTTACCACATACATCAATCATACATTATAGAATTATTTTTTATCATCAAAATAACACAGGGCACAGATTCAAACGATTCATAGGCACAAACACATGGCAAAAAGTGTAATGTCTGAATATAGATGGGAGATGAGGGTATACAATAAAACTAATTATGCCTCTATTAAACCTGATGGAATAAACATTTAGAAAGACAATGATCCAATCTGAATTCAAAAATGTTTAAGGTTTATCAAATCTATTTCAAGACACATTTCTAAATGATGTTACAATGAAGAAAGCCATATGGGTAATAAAGGTGTGGGTGGACACAGCTGTTAAGGTAAACCAAGGAGAGGTCTGTAAGTGCATGTCTGAGACAGGACTCTTTAGTTGTAAAGCACACAATAAGTAACACATTAGCCTGTCTCACAGAATGATGACTATAACTTGTCCTGGTTAACTTCTCACCTTCTAACTGACCTCACTTGACCTCTTCATCATCTCCTGGACAGAATGATGGCTAGTAGGAACAGTGGTCACAGTCCATCAACACTGTCACTCTAAGCCAAAACTCTGACCTAAATCAATGATGCCTTAGTATCATAGTGTATTGCCCATCATGTTGAAAAATAGATATATCATCTTGAATGTCTGCATGACCTGATTCAAATACTTTCATATACCTACACTTCCCTACAATGATAAACAGTCAACACAACCTATGTCTCCATATTGTCACAGGCAACCTACACCTCCCTACAATGAGAATCTGTCTACAAAACCTGAACCTAACTCTTGTGAAAGGATGTCAACACAACCTACATCAACCTACAGTGACAGTTTGTCAACACAACCTATACCTCCCTATGGTGACAGGCTGTCAACAAAACCTTCACCTACCTCTTGTGAAAGGATGTCAACACAACCTACATCACCCTACCGTGACAGTGTGTCAACACAACCTACATCTTCCTGCAATGACAGTCTGTCATCATCTGCAGGGACAAATGATAGACAAGACTTAAAAAAGGACCACATCTGAAGGGACAGCTGATGGACCGGACTGAAATCAGCCATATTTGAGAGGACAGCTGATGGCCTGACTTAAAACAGGACTACATCAGTGGGGGCAACTGATGGCCTGACTTAAAACAGGACCACATCAGTGGGGACAACTGAAGGCCTGACTTAAAACAGGACCACATCAGTGGGGACAACTGATGGCCTGTCTTAAAACAGGACCACATCAGTGGGGGCAACTGATGGCCTGACTTAAAACAGGACCACATCAGTGGGGACAACTGAAGGCCTGACTTAAAACAGGACCACATCAGTGGGGACAACTGAAGGCCTGTCTTAAAACAGGACCTAATCAATGGGGACAACTGAAGGCCTGTCTTAAAACAGGACCTAATCAGTGGGGACAACTGAAGACCTGTCTTAAAACAGGACCTAATCAGTGGGGACAACTGAAGACCTGTCTTAAAACAGGACCACATCAGTGGGGACAACTGAAGGCCTGTCTTAAAACAGGACCACATCAGTGGGGACAACTGAAGGCCTGTCTTAAAACAGGACCACATCAGTGGGGACAACTGAAGGCCTGTCTTAAAACAGGACCACATCAGTGGGGACAACTGAAGGCCTGTCTTAAAACAGGACCACATCAGTGGAGACAACTGAAGGCCTGTCTTAAAACAGGACCACATCAGTGGGGACAACTGATGGCCTGACTTGATGATAGTCCAAACCCGATTGTCTCTCACTGAATTATATTTCTAAAAGCCTGCTGTTTTTTTTTCTTCAAATCAATCATTCCATCTCAAAAGACATTATTCTATGTTGCAAATGCAATTATTTTCAATGAGTTTTGGTCTTTCGCTATTTTGAAGGACAGGATATCAATTGCATAATAATAGTTTGTAAAAAAAGAGTCTGGTCTGTCTTATAATATATATGAAAAGTATATAGATATTTTTTAAACGTTTAGTAATTCTATGACGATTTGACCAACCGAAATCAGCATCCTTTTTTTCAGAATATTGTGTAATTTTTAATCAAAATATTTCAAAGAGAAATGGCAGATGGATATATATTCAGTATGCCAAGTTTGTGAAAATAGGTAAAGTAATAGTTTATGTACAAGTGCTTGGCAAATAAATCTAGAACAGAATAACCTTATCAACATCATTCTAAAGTCATAAAAATCAGAGCAAATAAAACATACGTCAAATTACATATCCTCTCACTTCTTACTGAATAAGAGAGGTATGTAGGGCCAGTCCACAACTATCATCTAGGTCAGTGGTATTAACAAGTATTTAGAATGTATACATATAGGTTACAGTGTGTTTACCTAAAGGTCTGCTGTACTTACAACTCCTGCTGTGTAGCATAATTAGCAGACATAGGACAAACTCTTACTGTTAACTTATTAGATTAATTCCACAAGTCATACTATCCCAAGAGACGAATATTAGTTCAGGGGCGGTCAATACTGCTAAAATATCACCTTCAAAAGATCCTGAATTGTCTAGAATCTGTGTAAGCCTTATGTTACTAGAACAAGAAGCTGTCTATAAAAAAGGTTATGATAACACTGCTAGACTCATCAGTAGACAGAAGCTGTGGAATTGGAATGAAGACAAAGGACATAAATGTTCTGTTCTAGTAATCATCTAATGGCCACCACTTAACCAACTCCAGGCCCATCCAAGTCTTGTAACACATTGCAGAGTTTGTGACAAATTAGACAAAAAATTATTAAATTAAGCAATTGTGATAAAGGAAAGCTCAAAGAAAATGACTTTTTTTTAAAATGAGAAAAAGTAGGCTGTAGCAGTATGTCCAATAAATGTAAAAAATCTAATTCATTTTTACCCATTTTTCAAACCATGGTACTTTTGACAGCCACAGTTTATTACATTTTATTTTTATAAATATATTTGAAAACTAAATAATATTTATAATTAACATTTTA